AGGGGGATACTGTCCGTAAACTTGAGTAGGCACGTACGGTACAACTCCAATCATATGAGGGCCAGAAGCTCTCATGCAAAGAGGGTGCACTCCCTGCAGAAATGTTGTTGAAGCTATCTGGAAAGTTCGACGTTGAAGCTGACTCAGACAGCGATTGATTTCTCTTCCGGTTTATGATCTCCCGGGCATCGAGAATTGATTTTTTGCTTCCCACCGGCTGATGAGTCTGGCGGGTGTTGTTGTTGTTCCTCTTAGGAAGGAGAATTTTTGACCAATCAATGGTCCCGGCTGCCTTCTCCTTTGGATGAGGAGTGGGATGCCGTTCTCTGACTGAATTCCCCTTCTCCGGAGGAGTTTTCTTCGCCGACTAACCTTTACTTGGGCCAGCCCGGCTTTGGGTGATCAACTCTTTAATTTCACCCTTGAAACTTGTCATGAATCTCATGAGTTCGTCTCGGGTGACAGGGGCTGATCCTGCGGCCGTTTGGGTTTCCCCTTCCGGCTGCCCAAAGGGTCGGCTTGTACCCGCCTGGGAGGCACCCCGCTCCAGAGTGTCTCTGGGCCGGATGCGCTTGATTATGAGAGAGCCGTCTTCGGCTGTAAAGGTTTCGACCTGAGGATCTTCATCCTCATGGTCTGTAAAGACTTTTGGGTCTTCGCCAAGACGGTTAGGGGGTGGCACAGACTCTTGAACCATCTTCGAGGTACTCTCCCCACAGACGGCGCCAAATGTTTTGGGGGTTTTTTGTCCCTTGGGAGAGTTACAACACGAAGTCTGATCCGGCTGAGCTGTACCTGCAAAACAAACGGAGACACCGGTTGGGTGGTGCTCCGCCTCCGACGCACAAGTTAGAAACTTGAAGGGAGAGAAAAAAGTGCGGAAATTTAGGTGGGTATCTGCTCGGATTCCAAGCTCAAGTCTTTCTCTGATGTGAGAGAATGCAGGTGTAATAAATGATTGAATGTGTCCCCAAAATGAGGGAATATCTCCCTATTTATAGGGTCCTTGGAGAGCGTGCCCCTATCTAGGTCACTTGACCTAACTTTTAGTGGGTTGCGCCGTAAAACGGCTCTTCTAGGAATTTGGGCCCTTGAAGGCCGCCATTTCAGAAGTATATCTGAGGGCACCAAGTGTCAAGAGGGTGTTAGGCCACGTGGGCCATCCTGAGCTCGACACGTGGCTTCCTCTCATTGGTCCACGTGTCTAGGGTATTTTTACCCTAAACAAGTTTTTTGGTGTGTGTTAGCCATCTACAAAAAAAAAAAAAAAAAAAAAAAAAAAAAAAAAAAAAAAAAACTCACTGAAATAACATATAGTCATACTAAAAAAAAATCTACAACATTCATGTAATGTCCAATCAACATTTAGGCTAAAAGTCTTATACGCTTGTAGAATTTATAATTCACAAATTATTGGGTGCGGGCACCCGCACCCAAGTGTTTTGTGCGACAAGCCGTTTTCTTTTCCCTTCTCTTTCTCTATCCTTCTTTTCTTCCCTTCTTTTTCTCTCTCCTCTACTCCTCCTTTTTTTCCAATTAAAATCAAAATAAAATATTCACTACTGCATAAAACAATCATAATTAATCCAAGAGGATTTGCTATTGAATCGAAGATGATTTGCTCGGTTAGAAAGCAGATAACTGATGCAAGGTTATGGCGGAGGAGATGAGACATTCCCTAGTGGTGGGGGCGTTTGCTGGTGGTGGAAACGAGTGCAAAACGCTGCTATTTTCGTGGTTGGGCACTCCACTTGGGTGCGAATTGCTGCTAATTTGCGTGGTTGTATTGGGCTTCGGCATGGCTGCGGTAGGAAGAAGAGAGAGTGGTGGTGCATGGTTGTGTTGGTGGTGCGTGGGGGCTACAATAGGAAGGAGAGAGAGTGTGGTGGTGTCGTGGTGGTTGTGTTGGTGGTTATAGGATTAGAAGAGAGAGAAAGAAATCTTGGCTAATCTTGGGCTCTTGGCTGATATGATTTTGTGAATCCGCTAGAAAGAAAGAGAGGAAAAAGAGGAAAGTGGAGAGGAAATGAAATAAAACTATTTTGTACTTGTATATACTCTGTACATCAGCTACTACAAGTAATATCAGCCAATTAATATTTTATATCATTTAAGATTAAAGACAATATTATCACCAATTTGTGAGATTATCATATAATATCTTTGATAAGATTCTATTTTATATAAGGTAATTAATAACGAAAATATCACTAATTTGTGAGATTGATAATCATATCATATCCCTGATATGATTCTATTTTATATAAGGTACTCCCTCAGTCCCAGTTTACTTGCAACATTTTGACTAGACACGCTTGTCGATGCACATGTTTGACCATTGATATCTTTTATTATATATTTAAATAAGTTATACAGAGTTCATATTAAGAAAATATACATTAAAATAGACCCAACAATAACTTACATGATTACATTGACTTTCATATAATAGTTTAAAAAGTTGGTCAAAGAGAGATGTGGGAATAGTGCAAAAAGTCAAACCGTTGCGAGTAATTTGGGACGGAGGGAGTAATTAATAACAAAAGTATGACAAATTTGTGAGACTATCATATCATATATTTGATATGATTCTATTTTATATAAGGTAAATAATATAAAAAATATCACCAATGTGTGAGATAATCATATCATATCCTTGTTATGATTCTATTTTATATAAGGTAATTAATAACAAAAATATCACCAGTTTGTGAGATAATCATATCATATCCTTAATATGAATCTATTTTATATAAGGTAATTAATAACAAAAATATCGCCAGTTTGTGAGATAATCATATTGTATCCTTGATATGAATATTTTATATAAGGTAATTAATAACAAAAATATCACCAATTTGTGAGATAATCATATCATATCCTTGATATGATTCTATTTTATATAAGGTGAATAATAACAAAAAAATCACCAATTTGTGAGATAATCATATTAAATCCTTGATATGATTCTATTTTATATAAGGTAATTAATAACAAAAAATATCACCAATTTGTGAGATAACCATATCATATCCTTGATATGATTCTATTTTTATATAAGGTAATTTTTTGAATGTATTATATAAGGTAATTAATAACAAAAATATCACCAATTTGCGAGATATTATGTGAGTGTATCTTTTACATTAAACAAAAATATTAGAAAAACATTTATGAAATAACAAAAATGTTAAAATGGATGCATTTTTTTTAAAGGATAAAATGGATGCATTTTGAATTATTATTATTATTATTATTATTATTATTATTATTATTATTTATTATTATTATTATTATTTAGTGTTTCATTAAGTATTTTTTATTATATCTTTTATATCAATTAAGTTAAAAATCTGATTTTTATGGGTTATATCAACCCAAACTAAAATCATGTTATGATAATAAATATATTTTTCATGTTAGAAACATCATTTTAATCGAAATAGACAACTTTGTTTAGTAGACCTAGTTCACAAGTGATATATATGAGACTCTTTGTAAATACTTTTGTGGTATTTTCTTTATTCGCAGCGAAAGAATTAATATTGTATGATTCTATTAAACTCGCAAATCCACCAATATGTTACTGAAGTTAAAATAAAGTCTGATACCTTTGATTGGGTTAGTTGACGTAGCAGTTGGACATGCATTCATCCGTAAAGTTCTTTTTTATTATTTATTTTTTTTTAAAAAATAAAAATAAATTCAAATATTAAGTTTGAGATTTTACGTAATCACTACATGTGGGATTCTAACAAAGTCTTAGATTGTTCCCACCTCATGTAGCTTTTATAAATTTTGTTGTGGAGTCACCGGCTGTCACTGAAGTTGACTTATGTTATTGGGCAATATCGTTTAAAATTGGGTATGCTTTGTTATATGACAACATTACCAGAAAATTTAATGTCTTTCAACATCAACATTTTTTGGGAAATTCTTTGTTACTTTCATACATACAACCAATGTGGAACTACTGTTGTGGAAGTTGTTAAAAAAGATTAAGTAGTTTAAAGTGAGTTTTCTCATCGAGTCATTCCGATTCCGAATTTGTTCAGCGATCTTTGTACCACACTAGTTGAAGACTTTTTCATCATTTAAGAATTTGGGATATTGCCAGCTAGGGAAGCTTAGGCGAGGTGGAGGCCTTGTCATATACATAAAACTATAAAAGACCTCTCTTTAATAGATTGGATTTAATATCATATCCGACTTTATATTAGTCGGTATAAGATTATGAGTCCCTGTATTAATACCTTCATTGACACTCTTTAGATCGCTCTAGTTATTTAGGAATAATAGGATGTTTAGGCCATATTCGCCTTTTATTAAACCAATTACTTTACAAGTATTGGATACGCTCACAACCTTAGTTGCATTAAAGAATTTTCGTGTTAATAATGGTTACAACTTACAAATTACAAGATCGGATATATTATCAATCATTTTAATATATCTGCATTCATAATTTATGACCTAATGTAGAGACTGTGAATTCGAATTACTATTAGTCACCCATTCACCTTGAATCCTCATTATCAACATGGTATTTAATTCAAAGCTAAGTTCCAAGGATCTTTAACACCCCCTCCCCCCTCTTTTATTTTTTTTTATTTTTTTTTGGTGTGTGTGTTTGGGATGGGGGGTTAGCTATTATTGAAGTTTAGATTGATATTTGAAGTTGAAATGGAGCTTTTTATCAATCTTAAAATTAATGAATATGTGATGTTGAAATAGAAGCCTTACTCGAACTTAACATTATGAAATAGTTGCATGTTTTACCCCAATTTAAGATATGATATAATTTCAATGATAAATTTTACACGCTTGTACTATATAGAAATATATTAAGACAAAACAAAATATTGTAGTTTTTATGACAACTAAATTTTTCCTAAATTAGATTATTACTTGGTATCTATTCTAGCTACGTATTTATCATAAATTCACAATCGTATAGTATATATGTTTACGTACCTTATTTTATGTTACTTTTACGTCGCAATTACAGAAACCCTAACTATTTAAGCTTAAAACAAGCTCCATGGTTATTTTTGATTACCTAGCCATCCATAGTCAAAGCAATCCCTGTAAGAAAAAACACCAATAATTCTGAAAAATGGAACTTTCCCTCCATTTTGAAAATTAACTCTTTTTCACAAACACCCAACAAAAAATGGCGGCAATTTGAAAAATTAGGGAAAGCGTTACTTCACTTCACTACATATACACATCATTTCTCACTCAGTAATTCTATCCAAATTATCCGAAGATTCGAAGAATCAACAAATCCAATCTTCTGTGACCTAGCAATCGTCACCCCCGCCGCCGCACACCAGCATTCCTTGGTGGGTCTTTAGCCTGCCGTCGCCGCCGTCACCGTACACTTATCATTGTTCCATTTGCTGGGGTTGTTGTTTATGATAAGGTAGTCTTACCCTTTTCTTCAATAACCTTGAATTCATTTCAATTATTAATGTTTAAAAAAAATAAAATTGGGATCTTTATTTTAATTTTTGGTAGAATCATGGTTTGTGTAGCCGACTTTGATTGTTGTTGTTGTTGTTTATTGATTGGATTTGGTTTTTTGTTACGTTATTTCATTTGGATTGTTTTTATGATTATGGGTTTTTCTTATTTTGATCTAATTTGTAAAAATGTGTTTGGTGAATTGGTTGTTTTGTGATTGTGTTATGAAAATGTGGGGTTGTTTTGTTTTTGTAATTGTGTGGTTGTATTACTTTTGATTTGGGGTATTTCATTCGAACAACGGGAAGGAATTTGAGAGGAGACAGATGGAGAATTGGGGTTGTTCTAATTGATTTTTAGATGAATTTTAATAAGCCATTTATCTTAATTTATTCAAAGTTGAGTTTTTTGTTTTGTTCAAGAGGTAGTGAGATGAGTTTTTGGGTCAAAATAAAGGGTTTAATGAGTTTTTATTCAATGATTGTGGTAACTTGATTTTGTCTTAAGGGTTGTTTGGTTGGATAATTTGGAATGAGTTGAAATGGAGTTAGAATCCATTCCATCAAATTTTTTGTTTGGTTGAGTTTTTTTAGTAATGGAATTTCATACCCAAGGTTTTTTTTTAGTGTACGGAGTTTTGACACGACGGGTGATGCTAGTATTGGCTTCATGATTGTGTAGGGGGGGTTTACCTATGTGGTTATTTGGTTGTTATGAATTTTGTTTTCATGGTATGAAAAGAATTCACCTTTCTTAATGGTGGATTCTTAAAATACAAAAAAAAAAGGGTGATTCTATGAAAATGATGGCTGTTAACTTAGTATTGTGATATGAGAAATGCTAGAACGTAGAAATGAAGAAATTGCTTGTAATTTGAGTTGTTAGCTAAACATTAATTTTTTTCTATTTGATATGTATGATCTTGTATTAACACTCATTTCTAAATTTCTTGTTTGCCAGTCATTCTTGTGTACGTGTACGTGCGTGTTTTTCCATTCTCTAACGGTCAATGAATTTGGTATAATGTTAAGAGTTGTGATGAATCATGCATGTAACTATTGTAAGACAAAGAGACCGCCAATAGTGAAGCATCCTAAACTATGTGTTATGTACTTTTTTTGAGGAAAATGTGTTATGTACTTATGTGTATAATTTTTTTTATTTTTTTATTTTTTTTTATTTTTTTTAATCATGCAATTGGTTTGCTATATTAGAGTTGTTTATTCATATTTTTCAAGCATGATGCATTAATATCTAATGGATGCATCAGCAAAACTACATGGATTCAAAAGTTGATTGTACTATCATGCTTTCAATGTTACCTTTATTTAATTAGTAGTTTTGAGAATGTGTGGTCCCATTTTTGTCAAAGATTGTAGCCTGTAAAGTTATCATCTCAGCAAGTTTCTCATCAAATGATTTACTTTCTTTGCATATCCAGGAATGGGGGCGAAAGAGACTGCAAGTACTGGAGATGTGGCTTTTGATAATTCTAAAGAAAATGAGCCTAGTATTAAAACCTCAAAAGGAAAACAGAAAAAAAGAGATAGAAATGAGACCAATGCATTGGCTTCTCGGAGAATGCCAAAGCGTGCTGCAGCATGTTCAAACTTTAAGGAAAAAAATCTTTGTCTATCTGAGAAAGATCACCTCGTGGATACAAAAAGGGTGCCCATTGTTGAAAATGAAATTGCTGCTGTTGGCTTGACCACTGGCCATGATGATCCTAGACCCAATCGTCGTCTCATAGACTTCATTTTTCATGATGAGGATGGGAAAGCACAACCAGTGGAGATTCTTGAAGTTACAGACTTGTTTATTACTGGTGTAATCTTGCCACTAGAGCCTAGTGGTGACCCTAGTAAAGACAAGGGAGTAAAATGTGAAGGCTTTGGTCGAATTGAAACATGGGATATCTCTGGCTATGAAGATGGTGAACCAACCATCTGGATATCCACAGAGTTAGGTGATTATGATTGTGGAAAGCCAGCTGCCTCCTACAAGAAAATATATGGACTCTTTTATGAGAAGGCACGTGCATGCATTGAAGTCTACAAGAAACTGTCCAAGTCTCTAGGGGGTAACCCAGATATAGCACTCGATGAATTGATTGCTTCTCTAGTTCGCTCAATGAGTGGCAGTAAAAATTTTCCCCCAGGTGCTTCCATCAAAGAATTCATTATTTCACGGGGTGAGTTCATTTACAACCAGCTAATTGGATTAGACATTACATCCAACAGGAAAGATCAGAATTTATCTGATCTACCTGTGCTTCTCACCCTTCGTGATGAGTGTAAAAAGAATATGGCATATGCACAAGAAACCGCGATTCCTGTAAACCTGTCTTCTGGTGGGAGTTTGAAGATCGGGGATGTAGAGAAGAAAAATGAGTCTGAAAAGCCTGATTCTGAAGAGGACGAGGATGCAAAATTGGCCAGATTGTTACAGGAAGAAGAGGAATGGAAGTCTATGAATCAAAGGAAGGGAAGGCGCCAAACTGGTCCAAACAAGTACTATATCAAGATTAATGAAGATGAGATTGCAATTGACTATCCTCCCCCTGCTTACTACAAACCTAACAATGAAGAGACTGATGAGTACATCATCTTTGACAATGACATGGATGTCACTGATCCAGATCAGCTACCGAGAAGCATGCTTCATAACTGGTCACTTTATAACTCCGACTCAAGATTAGTTTCTTTGGAACTTCTTCCAATGAAGCCATGTGACGATATTGATGTTACCATATTTGGGTCAGGGATCGTCACAGATGATGATGGGAGTGGTTTTTGTCTTGATGCTGACGATCAATCTTCATCTGCTTCTTCTGAGGCTCAGGATGTGGGTGGAATTCCTATCTATTTGAGCTCGATAAAGGAATGGATGATCGAGATTGGAGCTTCCATGGTCTTCATATCTATCAGAACAGATATGGCCTGGTATACCTCTTTTCTTATAAGCTTAAATTTTTTTAAATGTTGAGACTTAAGGCTTTACCTTTCATTTGTCTTAGCATCATGTTTCCGGGCCCAGTTTTATAATAGTTTAGGCTAACATTTTCATTTTCACTAGGATGCTGTCATCGCTTGATGAAAAACTTCACCCGGCATTGAATATAAATTTCAGTTTATTGTAGTTTCACATCTACAAACCTATCCTTGTTTGTCTTAACAAATTTCTCTTATCTTTTTGTTACCTTACTAAGTCAGATTTACTTGAATACCACCGGTAATTTAATGTTGCATTTATTTGGATGAAATTTTCTAATATGGTTAAAAAATTGGTTCTTATTGTCCCTGCCATAAAGAGTTATTTGGTGATGTTTTTATGCAACTCTTCACTTCTGTTGAGTCATAATCGTGCTTATGAGTTTCGTAACTTGTCTTTACAGGTATAGGCTTGGAAAGCCATCACCGCTGTATGCTCCATGGTATGAAACAGTTATGAAAACAGCAAGGCTTACTGTTAGCATCATTACTCTGTTAAAGGAGCAGAGTCGTGTGGCACGTCTATCCTTTGCTGAAATTATCAAAAGAGTGGCAGAATTTGGAAAGGACCACCCTGCCTTTATATCATCTAATCCAGGCATGGTAGAAAGGTATGTGGTGGTCCATGGCCAGATATTACTGCAACAGTTTGTAGAGTATCCTGATAATTCCATCCGGAACTGTCCTTTTGTAACTGGACTTTATGATAAAATGGTTACAAGGCATCACACAAAATGGATTGTGAAGAAAAAGGCTGTGACCAGGAGAGGTGCAAACTTGAATCCTGTGGCTAAAATGGTTCCTGTTGCAAAAAGGAAATTAATGCCAGCCACAACCACTAGATTGATCAACAGAATATGGGGACAATTCTATTCAAATTATTCACCGGAAGAGTCCAAGGAAGAAGTTGTTGAACTGAAAGAGGAAGAAGTTCTGGAGGAGGAAGAAGAATCGGAAGAAATTGTTGAGGAGGACCAAGAAGAGAGTGTCTCTGTTGAGAAACCTGACAAAACACATAAAGCAAGTGGGAATAGAAAGCTCAATTGTTCATCTCAGGACATTAAGTGGGAAGGAGAGCCACTTCTGAAAACCAGTGCCAGGGAGACCTTCTACAAACAGGCTAAGGTGTTTGGAGATTTAGTTGTTGTTGGGGGTTGTGTCCTTATTGAAGCAGATGAATCAGTAGAGCTGCCTCCTATGTATTTTGTTGAATATATGTTTGAGAAATCAGGTGGCAAGAAAATGGTCCATGGACGACTGATGCTGAGAGGATCTCAAACAGTTCTTGGGATTGCTGCTAATGAGAGAGAGGTGTTCTTGACTGATAACTGCTTAGACTTTGAGCTGGGGGATGTTAAACAAAGTGTGCAGATTGAGTTTCGCCATGTGCCATGGGGATATCAACACCGGAAGGATAATGCTGTAAATGGCAAGATTGACCAGACAAATGCAGAGGAGAGAAAGTGCAAAGGATTGCCATTGGAATATTACTGCAAAAGCTATTATCAGCCGGATAAAGGTGCATTTATTTGTCTTCCAAAAGACACAATGGGAAGTGGAACTGGTGTCTGCTTTGCTTGCAAAACTAAAGAGGCTGAGAAGGAGCAGAAATCCCTTAAGGTTAATTCGTCTAAAACTTGCTTTGTTTACGAAGGAGCTGAGTACAATGTTGAGGACTTTTTCTACGTAGCCCCACAATATTTTGCTGAAGATGAGAAAGACAGCGAAACATTTAAGAGTAGCAGGAATGTGGGCTTGAAACCCTATGTGATTTGTCAGCTCTTAGAGATTGTGATGCCTAAGGCTTCTCGAAAAGTTGATCCTGAGTCCGTAAAAATTAAAGTCAGGAGATATTTCAGACCTGAAGACATTTCAGCAGAGAAAGCCTATCGCTCTGACATTCGTGAGGTTTACTTCAGTGAGCAAATACAATCGTTGGCAGTAGCTGCTGTCCATGGGAAGTGTCAAGTCAGAAGAAAGAATGATCTGTCATCAGTTAACTACCCTGCTGTTTACGAGCATGTCTTCTTCTGCGAACATCTTTATGATCCTGTTAGCGGAGCTATTAAACAGGTGCAATCTACATATTTTAAATAGATAAAATTATTTAGTGCATTAATTTTGGAACATAATAATAAATTCATCAATCTTAGTGTCGACATATTATATAAGGCTATGCAACAAGCATCCTTCTAACTTTTTATTTGTCTATTGCAGCTGCCTAGTAATGTCAGGCTTAACTCAATGGTTGATGAATCCATGTCAAGAAGGAAGAAGGGAAAGGCTATAGAAACTGAGGATGATGAACCTGTCAAACAAAAAGATGAATCTTCAAAGAAGCGGTTGGCCACTCTTGATATCTTTGCTGGTTGTGGTGGTCTGTCTGAAGGTTTAGAGAAATCAGGTAGCTTGATTGCACAGTTTTCTGTCATTGCTTATACTTACTTGCCTGAGTGCACATGTGAATCTCACTGTATGTTTTCTTACAGAAGATTAGAGTATGTTTATTATTGCTTAATAATTTCCACCGGTTATTGCCCACAGGTGTATCACAAACCAAATGGGCTATTGAGTATGAAGAGCCTGCTGGTGAAGCATTTAAGCTCAATCATCCAGAGGCTTCTGTGTTTATAAACAATTGCAATGTGATCCTTAGGTATGCTTTTTTTTTTTTTTTTTTTTTTTTTTTTTTTTTTTTTTTTTTAGGATTCTGTGTTTGTGTGTGTGTGTGTGTATATATATATATATATAATATATTCTATCAGTACTCATCTCAATGGTTTTGTACAGTGCAATCATGTCAGCTTGTGGGGATGAAGCTGATTGTTTAACGACTCCTGAAGCATCAGAGGAGGCAAAGAAGCTTGATGAGAAGGAAATAAATGCTTTACCTAGACCTGGGCAAGTAGATTTTATAAATGGAGGGCCACCATGTCAGGTATATGCACATTTCTCATTTATCTCAACCCTACTTTCAGTTTCCAATGTATTGAGAAATACTAATCATCTTAATTTAACTATGTTGCAGGGGTTTTCTGGAATGAATAGGTTTAACAAAAGTGCCTGGAGTAAGGTTCAATGTGAAATGATCCTAGCTTTCCTATCGTTTGCTGATTATTTCCGTCCTAAATATTTTCTTTTGGAGAATGTGAGGAATTTTGTGTCATTCAACAAAGGCCAGACATTTCGTTTGACCCTGGCTTCTCTTCTTGAGATGGGCTACCAGGTAGGCTATCTTGTCAATTTTCTATATTTGTTTTTTTTGGTATTAGGTTGCATCCTTGAAGATTTGCTCTGAAATAGCGTACTTATGACTGGCAGAAATTAGAATGTGTTTCTCAGGATATGTAAATTTTTTTTTAGGTCAATTGATAGCCCATATTCTTCCGGTGTTCTGAATTTATGGTAAAACAATTTCAGGTAAGATTTGGTATTCTGGAAGCTGGAGCTTGTGGTGTTTCCCAATCTCGTAAACGTGCATTTATCTGGGCTGCATCTCCTGAGGAGACACTGCCTGATTGGCCTGAGCCAATGCATGTTTTTGCTGGTCCAGAGCTCAAGGTCACCCTAGATAGCAATACCCAGTATGCTGCAGTGCGGAGTACAGCAACTGGTGCCCCCTTTCGTTCGATTACTGTTAGAGACAGTATTGGAGATCTCCCTGCTGTAGAAAATGGGGCTTCTCTAGCAACTATGGAGGTAAGATGCCTTGCTTGACATTCATTTTCCGCCCCATATCAGTTACCCTAATTTGAAATTGCACCTTACAATTTATTTATTTTATTTCACAGTATAAAAATGAGCCTATATCTTGGTTTCAAAAGATGATCCGAGGTGATATGGGGGCTTTAACTGATCATATATCAAAAGAAATGAACGAGTTAAACGTAATTCGCTGCCAAAGAATTCCCAAACGTCCTGGTGCTGACTGGCGAGAACTGCCAGATGAGAAGGTACTTTTCCCATCAGACCTTCCTGATCAGGGAGCTAATTGCTAAATATTTACATAGCTGATGTCTTTCTTTGAATGTTTTTCATTGAACTGTTTGTAACTGAATGTTGTAGTCATTGTTAGTTATGATTTTGGCCTCCAAAAGGCCCAACTAGTGTAACTATATGTCCTGACGAACACATCTGTCTGCAGGTCAAGCTGTCTACTGGACAGATGGTTGATTTAGTTCCTTGGTGCCTGCCAAACACTGCAGAAAGGCACAACCAGTGGAAGGGTCTATTTGGAAGATTGGATTGGGAAGGAAACTTTCCGACTTCTATTACTGATCCACAGCCTATGGGCAAGGTTGGGATGTGCTTTCATCCTGATCAAGATAGAATAGTCACAGTTCGTGAATGTGCTCGATCTCAAGTAAGTCATTGCAGCCTTTTGATTATCCGTGATGCTTATAGGCCATAATTCCAATACCCTCTTAAGTCTCTTAGAGGAGGGAGTCCCATGTCTTTGAACAGACCATTATACCATCTTAAAAGCACATTTCTAGTCGTTTGATTTTGATCAATATGAAAATGTTCATTTTTTTCGAATATTGGTGAGTTAAAAAGTTTTCTAACATTTATAATTTACAACTGCAGGGTTTTCCAGACAGCTATAAATTTGCTGGCAACATCCAACATAGGCACCGGCAAATCGGTAATGCAGTTCCACCACCCTTGGCCTTTGCATTGGGTAGGAAACTCAAAGAAGCTGTGGAGAAGAAATGCTGAGTCTGACAATATAATGTCAAACCCAGTACTGGATCTGGCTGCATAAATATCTAATCTACACCATTGATAGAGTCCCTAAAAACTGTAATTAGTGTGGGTAACCCGTATAGGTAGAAGCAATTTAAGAACTTTGTGATGAATTGATGAGATGGATTGTCTTCAGCTTGTCATTGTCTAGGATATAATGAACTGCACAGTATTGAGCAGTGAAAAAATGAACCTCAGGTCCTCAGCATTATTTTAAGTTGGCGATTTTCGCAATCCTTAAACATGACGTACTCAACCTTGAGTGATTATAGCTGCATGTATTCTAAACTTACATTCTATTAGCATGCCAAAAACTTTTCTTTCTTTTTTTTTTTTTAAAAAAAGCTGGTACATTGTGAACTGGAAAAAATGACATGTCATGTTTGTTTAGCCTATTATCTATATAGCCTAATTCTGTAAGCAGTATTAAAATGAATTGAAAATTGCTCATAGTTTTATGAGAAACTTAATACAATTATACAAATATTAAATATCTCAATGTAACTATGTAAGGATTATGTAACTAATGTACTACTTTCGTTTTATATTTTTTGCATCTTTGAAATATTTTATACCTGTCAAATAATACCCCAAAATTGCAAAAATATGAAACGGAGGTAGTAGCTAATATTCGAAGGGGAAAAATAAAATTACAAAAACAAATTTAAGGATTATAGTCTAGTTCGTACCAAGTATGAAAATCCAAGCATCAACTATAAGACCTCATTATCACCTAAGTGTCCAAGTTTAACTCGTTTGCTAAGAGTAATTTAAATCCAACATTATCTTTATGATCAGTTTAAATAATCAACACTTCACAAAGGATTGTCCATGAAATATGCAGTATACAATCTATACATACTATGTAGTAAGGAATATATAATAATTAAACCAATATTGTCGATTTGTCATATGTCATACTCTTCGTTAAAATCAATAGCGTTATAGGTCACACGAGCTAAAGAAATAGTTATTTAGTTATACAATTAAATAAATCTTTTATATAATTGCATAGTCAATTTTACAACCTAAATCCCGTCTAAAATATTATTAAAAAAAAAAGCCTCCAAACTCTTAATACTTAGGGGTCGTTTGGTTTACACGGGGTAAACGGAATGGAATGAACAAAGAGAAAGAAAGAGAATGGAATGAAATTACCCAAAATTATGTAAGTTGTTTGTTTTAAAAACAAAGGAAAACACTATCACCAACTTCACCACCACACAACCACCACACATCCACCTTATTTCTTCAATTCCCACATTTCCCAGCCACCACCCAGCCCCCCACCAACTCGCCGCACATCCCCAACCACCACTCACCGCCCTTCGCCCCCCACCAAACGCTGCCCTGCTGCTTGTCGCCGCTGCTCGCCCCGCTGCTCACTGCTGCTCTCGGCGAGGGTGTTAGCAGTGGTGGGTTTGGGTTGTGGGGGTCTCGGGGATGGTGAGTCGATATGGGGTGTCGACGATGGTGAGCCGGTGGATTTGGGTTTGTGAAATTGTGAGGGTGTTAGATCTGGGTCTTATCAGTGGGCGGCGGTGGTCGGGGAAGGGGTGGAGGTGGTCGGGGAAAGGGCAGCGATGGCGGTGGAGGTGTGACTGGTGGCAGTTGGGTGGTGAGGGTAAGGTAAAAGGGTGGTGGCTAGTGTGGGTGTGGTGGTGGATGGGTGGCTAAGGAAAGGGAAAGTCTAGGGGGGATGGGGAATGAAGTTAGAAGGATTTGGGGTAATGGAGGGGGTAAATGGAATGAAAGAAAGTGTCTAACAAACAACAACAAAGGGAATCGGCTCAGTTGATTCCCATTCCCTTTGATGAAAACCCCCAACCAAACGACCCCTTAAAGTATTTGGTATATCAGGTATGGGCCTATAATTTACTCGTAGAATACGGGTGTAAATTCGGAGTTTGTATGTTTGGGTCGCTTTTTTCCTAAAAAAGAAAAAAAAGAAAAAAAAAATATATATATAAATTCTGGCTGACGAATTTTGGCATCAATAAGGGCTTAACCGCTTAAGGCCATCAGCTACAAAAATACTACGTAGAATTAAAGGTGCTACTTCAGTTTAGGGTTCTTCCGAGAATTTGGGGATTTACAAAATTTAGGGATTCGCAATCAATCCAGACAGTGTACAATTCAATCAATCTCCAACGAAATGATACGACCAATTTAATCGATTCACTGAAACAATTTCCTCTTCAGATGATGGCAGTTATGGAAGATAATCAGCAGGAGATGAAGGAGAGAGAAATCGATCAAAGTACGATCAAAGACGACAACGACAATGGCAACGATAACAGTATAACAATGGCGACGATGAGTCGGAAGGAGAAGAGGAAGGCATTGAAGAAGATGAAGAGGAAGCAAGTGAGGAAGGAGATTGCGAAGAAGGAGAGAGAAGAGGAGGAAGCTCGATTGAATGATCCTGAAGAGCAGATGAGATTGCTGCGGTTGGAGCAAGAGGAAGCGGAGAGAATGGCGAGGGAGCGCATGGTGTTTGAGGAGAGAGAGAGGCAGTTTCTTCGAGCATTGGAGATGGAGAGGAAGAAGCAGGAGGAGGAAGAAGAGGAGCGGCGTAAACTCGATGAGGATTCAAAGAAAGAGCTGGTTTGTATTCTTTGAATTTTACTTATGTTTGATTGTTTTAGTTGCTTTGAATTTGAGATTGTGTAGAGGTTAAATTCGAATGCTTTCGAATGTGCATTTCGTTTTCGAGAATCTGTGTTTTGTAGTGATTGGAATTGCCGGCATGACTAGTATTATGACTGTAGTTTGATGATATATGATCTTAGTTCTGTTATTGGAGTGAGCAGTACTGTTGGTGGTGCTTTGATCCCTTTTCTAGTACTTGAGAGATTGTTAATCAACGGTGTTTTGATTACTGTAATAATCGAAGAATGTAACGTGTCTAAGGCATTAGCTAAATGTGTTCAATATACAATGTGGGGGTTTAATTGGTGTGCTAAAAATATTTTCCATGTTCTCAGCAATTTAATTGCGATTGATTATATTTGTTTTCATATGTATACCAAATTACCAACTGATTTTCATCTTGTGTGTAATTGCTCTCTTCTATATTGTTACATATAATTTGTAATATTATCATAGGTGCTAGATAATTCATGTTCTTTTGCAGTATTGCTAAATGTATGTTTTATGGAATGTTTGTTGCTAGGCTAATAATGAGAATGCTAGTGAGGCGAATGAAGATGATGATTGGGAATATATAGAAGAAGGACCAGCAGAAATAATATGGAAAGGAAACGAGATAATTGTTAAGAAGAAAAAAATCAGGGTGCCCAAGAAAGCTCCTGAGATTCTAAAAGAAAATCAGGTAATTGATGTGGATAATAAGTTGGCACTTTTGGGTTTGGCAAATAGTATCAATCCTAAAGTGTTAAGAACTTTTCAGGAAAGTGAAAGACCAATATCGAACCCTCTTGCTCCCCAGTCTGAAGCCTTTGAAGATTATAGGAGTGCAAAAGAGGTTCTAGAAAGTGTTGCACAACAAGTTCCCAACTTTGGAACTGAGCAGGTTTGTGTTAATACTTGTTCTGTTACACATCATCTCTATTTTTTCTATTTCTAGGCGTGATGTTCTCAACCATGTGAAAGGAGAAACATGTTTCAGTTTCCCTCACCTGATCTCCTTTTGATACTTCTTTATGGCAGGATAAAGCACATTGCCCTTTCCATCTAAAAACTGGGGTTTGTCGCTTTGGAGCACGGTGTAGCAGAGTTCACTTCTACCCAGATAAAGCTTGTACAATACTTATTAAGAATATGTACAATGGTCCTGGTCTTGCTTGGGAGCAGGATGAAGGGCTTGAGGTCTGTTATTGAAGCCATTGGGTGGTCCTTGTATCCTGAATGTCGTCTTATCTAGCTTTCAACCCCCACCCACCTTATATTTATTCTTTTGCATGTTTTTAGATGCCGGTTTTTTGTGGTTGAGTGTGCTTACTTGCACAATATGTACTCTTGCTGAACCTTTTTCTGCTGACTAGACATCTCTAATCAAGCTCACAATTCAAACGTGTGAGGTGGAGATTATTAAAATGGAAGTTTATTCCCTGTTTTCAACTTTTTTTGGTCACTGAAACATTATTCATGGAATGTTAGGGTTATAATTCTGCTTCTTTATAACTGCATTAAGCAAATGAATTCTGTCCTTATTTTGATGTCATCAGAGTCCTGCTCAAACGAGTGGTACTTTCCTTAACAGCCAATAGTCTACTGGGGAATTTTGTAGGCGCTGGAGATGGAGAACTGAGCTACATCCCATTTTATCATGATCGGTTTTCTTTTCATTGCTTTCAATTGACATGCTGCAATGGTGGAACTTTAAAATGTTTTTTAGGAAGTTGAAGGTTTGAACCTTAACCCTCTATTATGAAGAAAAATAAACTAAGACAACTTATTTAATAGGCAACATTATCCAATATACATTTCTGGGTAACACATGCTTTTTATAATGACTTGGAAATCTTCTGCCTTTGGCCTGTTCTTTTAGTTCTAATGGTATATTAGTATATAATGTAATATTACTATATTTTGTGACAAGCTAGAAAGAGAGTATTGATACCTTTTGTGCTCATATTTTTGTCTAATGAACTTTAAAGGAAGCAGACACAAGGCAGCACAAGCAACAATTAATACTCTTTTATCTTTAATTTGATCTTTATGTCATTCTTTACAATTAGGAAAAATAGCATATCCCAACATTAAACCAGGTGCATGTTTCGGATAAGTTTAGTACAAGAAAGGAAAGAAAGTTAAGCTATGCCTTATTTAAAAAAACTATCATTCTAAGAAGTCATGAATTTAACAGCGTAATGTTTAACTAGTTTCGTATTGTGGATAGGAACATCATTTGTGGTAGACTATATTTCATTCATTCGAAATTAGTTGACACCTTTCTTTTTGGAATACATATATAGGTGCAGTTTACCCTAACCTTACTAACCAACCCTTCACCCTGGCTGCTTGGCCTATCAGCTTGGCAATTTAATAGAACCACACCACCACCCCAATATCCGTCTACTCTCTGCCATCCCAACCCCATCTTTGTCATCATCTTCTTCACCATAAAACTTATCCCTTTTCCTTTTCTATCACAAGAGTCACAACCCAACTATTTCCATCTTAATGTCACTATCGTCAACCTCACAAGACAAAACCCGTACGACCGTACCTGTTTCTGCCCAGCCACTCCCTTATCATCATCTTGGGTGGTTGAGATTTCTGGATCCCCTTTCAAAAAATATCCATAGAAGCAAAGGAGAGAGATTGGAGATAGAGAGCGGCTAATCGAGTTAGGGTTTCAAATTGGATTGAGTTAGGGCAGAGACTCACACAATAACACTTGTGGGAGGCTTTGTCGGTGATGAAGTTGATAAACTATGTAACACAATTTTGCTTTGAGCCTTCGTATCTTTTGAGATTTTAGCCATTAAAAAAGGCTTCTTGTTTTTGAAGGAGAGGGAAAGAAAGAAAGAAAGGGTGAATAGGGTTGGCTGATTCGCAGGTGATTTGTTGGAGTGGTGTCATTGTCAGAGATTCGATAATAGTGGTGATGGAAGTGGAGGTAGAGAGGGAAATATGATGAAGATTGATGCTGTGGTCACTAAGGAAAATTGATCATGGTGATGGTAGGAGAGAGGAGGAGTTAGTGTGTTTTTTTTTTTTTTTGAAACAGAGTTAGTGAAATTAGTGAGAGGTAAATTTGATATTTTAACATATAAAACTTACCCAAGATAGAAATGGGTCAAAAAGGAATACGTGTTAACTAATTTGGAACGGAGGAAGTACAATTTAACAATGTGCTTAAGATGAATTGGTAGGAAGTATTATTTCAGAATGTGCTTATGATGAAGTGGTAAAGGGAAAGCTCATACTGGCGAAGTCTGTTGATGTCTATGCAGCTTAACTTTCAGACAAGATTAAATTGTTTTGAAGATGAAACAAATCATAGAATTACTCTTCCTCCTTGTTCACTTTACATGTCTTCTGTTGCTGTTTGTATCATTTTCTTTTGTCCGAAAGGGAAATGAAATTGCTCTCCCTTTTCTTTGGCCTTTTATTTGATCCCTTATGTATTCTGTTATGTTTGACTGATGAATGATGATCAAAGTAACGCACTAAATTTCTATAGGTTTTTATTTATTTATTTATTTATTTTCATTTTAAACATCTTATCTACTTGCTCGCATTTACTTTAAGAAGTGATTGCTGAATGCTTTGCTTTCTTTGTTAGCATACGGATGAGGAGGTAAAGCAGAGCTTTGAAGACTTTTACGAGGATGTTCATACAGAATTTTTGAAGTTTGGAGAACTTGTGAACTTCAAGGTGATTTTAGTGCTAAAGGACGTGCTCAGTTTTCTTCTATTGACCTCTCTTTAATCACAATTCATAATTGGGCGCAGTTACTTAAGACAGTTCTTTGTTCACAAAAAGAGCGCCTAATTTTATTGTGTTGTTTGTCATGGTGCCCCACTCTATTTTCTCCTGTTGTTAGGGGGTTGAAGGACTTATTGCCTTTTGGCATTGTCTATGAAGCATGTCACTTGTACTTGCTAATGTCATACAGAGTAAATAATTGTAAGCTAACTTTAGACAAGCTGTGTACTCTGTAAATAGTTTCCTGGCGCTTTAGTATCAGTTGTTCTATTGAATATCTAGTTATGTATTTTCACTTCTACTTCCCCATGATGCATTGTTGAGGAACTGTTGTAAGCCTGACCTGGTTCAATGGGTAATTGCTTTTTACAGGTGTGCAAAAATGGTTCTTCCCATTTGCGGGGTAATGTATATGTACATTATAAGTCATTGGAATCAGCTATGCTTGCATACCAGTCTACCAATGGTCGATATTTTGCTGGGAAACTGGTAAGGTAGTCATGTTTTTAAGTATATATTAGCACTCACATTCTAGTTTTGGTAGTGTTTATATGATTTTAGTGTTTATATGAAAGTCAGGGCAACATTAATTGCGCAGAGCTCTTTTTGTCTTACCCGTTCAATTTCTACATTAAACCATTGGTCGAAGAGATAACCAGTTAGTGTACCACTTCACATTAAGTAATACACAGTTTACTAAGGCGTTGGATACATTTCATTCTGAGAACTATATCATGTGGAATTGGCTCACAATGGATAGGTTCCTTATTCAATTTCATTATTAGAGGACAGTAAATTGAAATTCCTAGTTGTATTATAATTCTCACGTGATGTTCTAGAATTAACTTGAAAAATAGGATGAGAAAATTGCATGTAAAACATTTAGTATGCATGAAATTGCAGGGGAAATCCCAAATAATTAGTTTGATATCTGCAGCAGATGCACGTGTAAGTGAAGATTTATGTACTAAAACTACTAATTGCAAATTGTTCTTGACAGCTGACCTGTGAATTCATTAATGTGACAAGATGGAGGGTTGCTATTTGTGGGGAGTATATGAAGTCAAGGTTCAAGGTATGGTCACAAACTTGGGATTGAATTTCCCCAGGTTTGATCACCATTTACTTTCGCCTTGGATGCTTTTTAGAGTGTTTTGACAAGTAATATGATGAACAGTGATCTTTATATCTTAATGTTTGCATTTTCTATAACAGAGTTGTTCCCGGGGATCAGCTTGCAACTTTATCCATTGTTTCCAAAATCCTGGTGGAGATTATGAATGGGCTGACTGGGATAAACCAGCCCCGAGGTACTGGCTTAAGAAGATGGCTGCTTTATTTGGATACACTGGTGACGATTTCACGGATGAAGTTGGTCTGAGGTGTGTGATAAGTTTAAAAAGATAATATATGCCTATGTATGTCCATTTGCATATCTTCTATGTTTTCTTTCAAGTATATATTGCCTTAATTTTAGCTTATTGCTCTCTCTCTCTGAAAAGTGAGCAACTGTTTTGCTTAGGAAATGTATTGAGGATTTATTTAATTTTTATAAAGAACCAAATGTATGAGGCAAACTGGTAAATTGCTATGTGAAATAGTGAGTAAAGTATTATGATTGAACCTAAATATAGCAGAAAATGTATTGACTTTTACAGATGCAGTGATCAACTAATATGGATCATGACAGAGTAGCCTACTTGATAGATGTTGCTGAGACGGTTATCCCGGCTCTATTATTTCCTAAACTTTTCCTGTCTATGCTTGATTTGCAAACATAGTGATGCTGTTTTTAGGTTAAAAAACCAGAAGAATTTTGTGTTGGCATCTATTTGCTAGTGATTGAGCTTTCCGTTTATATATATTTTGTATAAACTTATTTCTTTTTCTTTCCTATAAACTGCCTTGTAATAACTTCACTAAGATAATACCTCTGGACTGTAACAGTGCCCATAGCGTCTGCAGTAGTATAAAATAGTTTGAATATTCTATAATCTTGACTTCCCTGGATTGCCCCTGAGCAATCTACGGTTGAGTGTGGTCACTGTTGTGAAACATGAAAGAGGAATGCATGAATTTTCTGACATCAAATGAATTGACATCTATTATACGAGGAATAAAAGCCCCTATTGTCTGAGGTGGCTTATTCCCAACCCCCCCTCCCCTCCTTCCCTCCCCCCATCCCCAAACAGGCCTTTGACAGCCATTTTTTGTGGGGAAAATTTTGTATTTTGTTAATTTGCACTACAATGAATAAGATTAATTGGATAGGATCTGTGAGGGAGCAAATTTTAGATTCTACCTTTGCTGTTCTTTTGACTTGTACAAGTGTATTATGTTGTTTTGATGAGTCTTGTTCTTTGCTTTATTGTTATTTTTAAAATTCCCCTTCAGCCTTCTCACTCACCTTCACATGTATGTAAATGTTTGCGTTCTACCATCAATGAGGATTCCTTTTTAATAAAAAGTTTCATTTCTCATACTGTTATAACGCTTTATCACCTTTATGTACACACACTTAGCCTAATAGTTCATGTTATTTATGTTTTGTCTTTTGTATCAGGCACCATTCAAGAAGTTCAAGGTCCAGAGGTTTAGACAGCCCTCAAAGGAAAAGCTTATCTGATGAAGATGATGGTTACAAGAGAAGGCGCAGAAGGCACAGTCCGCACAGAAGAGATGGCAGAGAGACCAGCAATCTTGACAAGGAGATGCAAGAAGAAAGAAGAACCTATCTAGATCATCGTTGTACTGATAATTTTGATGTATCAGAGGGGAGCACTGATGGTCATAGATCTGTCGTTGGCATGAAGAGAAGCTCGAAAAAGAGGGAAAGGGAAGGACTCTCAGCAGACCAAGACAACAAGAATAGAAAAATTGAAGCTATAAAAATGTTTGTGTTTTACCATCAATGAGCAATCCTTTTAATTTTGATTATTTACCTACTTTTATGCTTTATGTACCCACGCTTCTGCTTAATAGTGCAAGTTATATATGTTAAGTCTTTTGTGTCAGGTACCATTCAAGGAGACCAAGGTCTAGGGGTTTAGACAGCCCTCATAGGAAAAGCTGTTCTGATGAAGATGATGGTTACAAAAGAAGGCGCGGAAGGTACAGTCCGCACAGAGGAGATGACAGAGAGACCAACAATCTTGACAGGGAGATGCAAGAAGAAAGAAGAACCTGTCAAGATTCTCGTTTTGATAAATCAGAGGGGAGCACTGATGGTCAGGGATATGTTGCTAGCATAAAGAGAAGCTCAAAAAAGAGGGCAAGAGAGAGATTGTTTACAGACCAAGACAACAAAAGTAGAAAAGTTGATGCTACTTCTTCCAAAGGCGAGACTGCAGAGGGAGGAGTAAGTGACAGATACCATAAACACAAGAGTAGAAGCTCAAGTAGGCAGAACGGAGTTGCAGAGTCAGCTCGTGAATGTCGCCACAATAAAGTTGACAAATCTGATGTGGGAAAGAGTCCTTATGGAGAAAAGAATCATGATGAATTTCATAGGTATAAAGATAAACATGTCACTGCAACGAAAAATGAGGCAGCCTCCTTAAATTATAACTCTCATGGTGATAGTCAGGACAATGAGGAAGATGAACACAGTCGTAGTAAGGAAAAATCAAGGACAATGAAAGATGAAGCAGAATCATCCAGCAGTGCTTCTCAATGTTCTGATGATAGTAGGCTTGTAAAGGTCGAAAAGAGGCAACAAAAGAAAAGAAGGAAAAGTTCGAGGTTTAAGGATAAGACATGTGCCAAAAAGGATGTAAGAAAAAGCTCAAGGCTAAAGAAACAGTCAGGCTCTACAGAGACAGAGAGTGATGGTGATGATGATAGACACTATAGACATAGTAGACAACATTCAAGACACGTGATAAATGATGTAGAATCATCAGATGGAGATAAGCTTGGCAGGTATGAGAGAAGATCTTACAAGAGTCGGAGAACAAGGTCTAGGTCCAAGTCCAAGAAAGAGTCGGATCTTGCAGATACAAATAGAGATATGTCACAAGAGTCAGCACCTGAAAGAGACCACAAAAGGCCTGATGAAGAACGTATGTTACATGTTTATAGAAGTGATGAGGAAGCTACTGCACCTGGAATGGTGGCAACTAGTTTGGGGCATACCAGCTCTAAGGGCATTGATAATGAGGCGAAAGCTGAGCTTGAAAAGGCTTGTCGTCTTGCTGCTTTGAAGAAGTTGGAAGAGATCAGAATGAAGAAAGATACTCAGACTTCACACAGTATGGAGCCTATTGAAAGTTTGAAAATTTGCACAAAAGAAAATTCACATGGTAGAGTCCTGGAGAAAGCTGATTCAAGTAAAGTGGAATTATGTGAAACTTCTATAAAGAGGAGAAGGATTTAGTTTACAATGAGGTCAGTAAATTTTCAGGTTAATAATTTGCGCCCTTTTGTTGCCGGCAAATATCTGAATATCGTAAAACATTCTACATAATGCTGTAAAGTAGAGCAAGAAAGGTATGCTATTGCCATCAGATGCATGTCTAGATGCTCGTGTATTTTGCAGAAACGAAGTATCGGCATTCTTCAGGTGTATGTCTCCATTGATGATGGTTGTGTGAAGTTTTCATTTTTGTGTAAAGTTAAAGTTTATCTTGTATATACTTCATACACTTTAAGGGTTGTTTGAGATAGAATATGGAAGAAATTTTGTTCATTCCAATATGGTAAAAAATGCGTCTCGTTAATGGTTCTTATTAAACCTTAAATGAGAGCGTCTGTCCTACATCATCCCATTCCCCACATATATGGTATTCCACTTGTTTTTGGTCGCAACGGCCAAAGATCAGCTTCTTACTCCTACTAGGAAATTGAATTGTACGACCTGATATGGTGTTGCAAGAGATGTGAGACTGAAATTCAAATCCTTGCGCATCAGATGTTTATATCATCATAAACGTCCTGCTTTAAAAAAAAAAAATCACCATAAACGTCCATGAAAAAATTATTGAATATTTCTAGGGTTAGGAGATATAAGTTTATAGATGATTATAAGGGATGATGTTGGAAGGGTGCTAGTGCTGGCGATGTGAAGAGAGAAGGGGGCTCTGATGATATGGTGGAAGATCTTACTGCTAGACTTGGTGTCACAGTGACAAGGAGTCTTTGAAGGTTTTTGCTTTATGGGAGATGACTTTGAACCATGCAACCATGTAAAAAGATCTGGGAATATTGTGGCTTACTTAACTGCTAGATTAGTCCCAATTGATTGGGTAAAGCAACTGTAACCTTAGCAGATTTTGACATCACCCCGAGATCCGAGTCACTTCTTCCTTTTTAAAACTTAGAGAATCTGATTTGGTCTAATTCTATTGTAAATTAGTACCCTTGCAATAAATTTATGTAGTATTCCTTTTTAAAACTTAGAGAATCTGATTTGGTCTAATTCTATTGTAAATTAGTACTTGCAATAAATTTATGTAGTATATAAGGTGAAGAGAACACAACCTAAGTGTAAACTAATTGCAGTCTCATTCCTTGATTAACAAGTCGTTCATGATGTGGATAACTCCGAAAGAGATTATAAGTATACTCGTCTTTATTTGTAAGCAGCAACTTATTTCCACAAAGTCAACAGTATGCTTCCTCTCCCAACGATATACATTTATTATATTGGAAATAGGACATTTTTTTGTGGTCAGAAAATAGGGCGTTTTGTAAGATGTCTTGCAATTTGTGAAATCCAATTGAAGTTAGTTGGTACACGTTGATTTCCATCTAAGCATAAGTAGATTATTGAAAGAGCTTTAAATACCAGGATGTAAAAGCATCAGTAGAACATTCGAATATTAAAGGAACAGTTACATATTTAGATGATAATATGAATGTAAGCAATAACTTGGAGAGAACATGATGGTTACAGCAAATCAAAATGATACAAAAAGAATACATGGTGACCAGAGACATCAACAGGCAGATTTGGCACTTGAGGAATCACCACACCCTGCGCTTACATGAGATATTATGCAGGATAAAGCCGTAAACCTTCATATCAGACACGACTCCCTAATTCCCGTCAGATTCAACCAATACCATCTGTACTTAGTATATATTACAATTGAAAGGGTGTATATATATGATTCCTGCAAGAACCGTAAACAAGTGAGGGACTCAGGGATTCACAAACCAGAGCAATGAAATACACAAGGGGTTTTTATAATCAATATTTTATACCTGCAATACATCACAAGTTTAAACAGTTGGTCTCTTGCTTGAAACTTCTTTTGTCAGAACATCTCCCTTCTCCTACAAACAATTCCCAAATTTTAGTGTTTATACACAGCAGTTGCTTGTGACAGTGTTAAGTTCTGCCCAATGATACCACAAATTACTACTTTGTATTAGTTAGATGCTAACCCCTGTAGCAGCAATTCATAAAATACAGTTCATGAGTCATGACATAGTAATGCAATTAATACCTCTGACAAGCTAATTATACAACTAACTGAAGTTGATTGGTGGTCAAATAGACGGAAAACCAGTGAAGCACAACTTTGTTTTTCTTCAACTGAATCCCAAGTATATTAACTATGCTACGTGGTCTCTTCACATTACATATTACTCCAGGTAACCTTATGGGTCATGGTTCATGGTATTTTAACTATGAGAAAATTGCACGCATTTCAAAAACAGGTACCTCTATACTTTGGACATAATTCTATAACCGTTTCCATGTAGCACAGCATCTTAGAATTTAGATATTTCTAGCCAGTAAATCAGACAACATTCTCTCTCAGAATATGCATTCTCTGTAATCCACATGTAAAAGCCTTTACCAAGATTTAGGTACATTCTACTGTGTAATGTGATAATTTCTTTCAAGTTCAAATCTTCAAACCGTAGAGAAATGCACCACAGAGATAATCTCTACCAGCATTTGAGAAATGCAACAATCACACTTCAATAAGCTTATGATGAAAAGTGTAAAAAAGAAACGCAATTGATTAAGGGGAAAAACTTTCACTGGAAGTGACAAGGGGCCAAAGAAGTATCTAACACTAAATCAATATTTGCAGCAACCAAAACTAAAAATCTTTTTAAAGGGGAAAAAACATGTCAAATACAATGAGGTGTTTGATAAAGAATAGATTAGTAAAAAGAGAGTACAATTAACCCATGGTAGATGTAAGTAGTCAATCTACTAATAAGTGGTGGTTGGTATAGACTATAGAGTAGAATGAGGTGTGAGTGTGCCCACTCTTTTCCGTAAACTAATTAGAGAAATAAATCCAAGAACAAATTTATTTCAATAACAAGTATACAAGCACCAATATGTGCTACAATTCAAATAACATAGATCTAGCCTATATGACATTTGATACATTCAAAAAGCTAGAAGCTACTTGAGAACTGCTAGTTTACCAAATGCAAAAACAGAAATTACTGTTTACTGAAATATAAGTTTTTAACTATACTACTTTTTATAGCTCATTTGAAATATATTGAGGGTAATTAAAGAAAAAGAAATAAACAGTGGCATAATGAATGGAATAGAATACAAACAAATACAGAACTTCGTTTTAAAAAACCTTCACTAACAAAAGCTAACAATGAAATTAGAAAGATTCATGTTCATCCAATTAGAATGTGATCATATTTTATAATTACGACATGATTGCTTAAAATTAACACCAAAAGTCAAGAAAAGTGTCACAATTTCAGATCTACATCTCGTAGTCACCCTGTGCATTCCCTCCCAAATTAAACTCTGTAAGCCAATGACATAACGGTGGCAAAACAACTGGATTATTGACTAGAACGAGCTTTAACTGAGCCTCAAACGTAACATCTTGTATCTAGAGCCCACCCTTCAAGGCTTGAAGCAGTTGCAATGAGTTCCACATTAACAGTCAAAAAAGCAAGTCAAGTTGGGCATTGCATTGATATGAACTATATAATTTAAGTCCAACATATCTTCCTCGTTATAAAGTTAGCCCTACACCTAATGTTTTACAGTCCACTTGAAGCCACCAATACTTATTGAAGTGAAGTGCTAATTCACAAGACAATAATATCCTTATCATACTTTAGTAGCAGGGACAGTATATGAGCAAAATGCAGGAGAAGTCCTTAACACTAATGTCACTCCATAAGAAATGTTTTACACATGGAAATGATGGAATCATCAAGTCTCATGGATATTGATCACTAGTCATCCTTTCAGCTTCTAAAGAAATTGAAGTTCTCAAGGCTAATTATATTAGGCCAAAAAAAGGCATTGACTAAAGAATCCGGGATTTGAGTAAAGAGATTTGTGCACACAGGATATTAATTCCCTTTCAGAGTCAACATTTCAAATATTAATTCCCTTTAAAGGTCAACATTTCTTAGCTTCAAGGGGGCTGAAATTATGAAAATCCTTAGATGTACTCTATGCACAAAAAATATGCCTCTTTAGATAATACCACATTGCTGAGCTATAGGGCTTAAATAAGTATCAATTCTCACTGACGGCCAAAAAAACACTATGTACAAGATACAAATTCCAAATTTCTTATGGTTGAAGTACAAACACACGTCATTCTAATGATTTTCTAGGAATGCTATACTTTGATTACTTTCCCTGCCAAACCTGCTAAAGCTCAATGAAGTCACGAAGAGAACCTTTCACAATTAGCAGAAACAAAGATGACCTTGTCACGATCCAATCAAATGCAAGGTCTTATATGCATAACAAACCTTTGATCTTTGACTTGGTATTAATTAATGGGTGCGATTTCTTAAAGGCATAGAGACAGGACATGGTCATCTCATTTCACATTTCACTCTTTTATGTGTCCGTATCACACCTATACTGGCCGAGTCCATGTCTGATTCCACACAAAATAGCAGTCAAGAACTAGAAATCAGGCAATCTCCATAACACTCACAAAGAAATAGCAACTATCAATCGAAAACATATCCAATTTACTCAAAACCAACAAAAAAGGAATCACTTTACTTCTGTGTGACACATTCTAAACCCACAACAAATCACACATTCATACTACAAGATTAAATCTACAAGTAAAGCTAAGAATTGGGCAATTCTGGGACAATAGATTACAACCTAAGTTCATTCCTTCAAAACACAAAAACACCTCAAATTCACTACAGTTTGTAACGCATGCATGAAAATTTCTACAAACATTGAGATAAAAACATCAGTGTATTACATAAAATCTCAAAAAAAAATAAATCAAAGAAAAAAAAAAAAAAACATACCATTCCGTTAGATTCATAATAATCATTCAATGCCCATTGATATCTCGATTGATCCAACCCCAACCAATTCGCCACGTACTCATCTACACTCGCATGAACTAAATTTTCACAAAAAAAAAAAGAAAAAAAGTAAGAACAAAAAAATACCCAAAAGAAGCAACAATAAAGTGAGCAAGTAAAGAATCAAGAAAAGGGGAAAATGGGTAAAAAGGGTACCGTTTTGAGCTTTAGCAATGGCTTCCCAGAAGAAAGCGAAGCGGTCACCGGCAGGTTCAAACTTGGCCGGAGGCGGCTGAACCGGCGGCGGAGAATTGACGGCGATTTTTTGGTGGGATTGTGAAATAACGGCGGGAGGAGCTTCGGAAGTGGGTTTAGGGGTCGGAGGAGGAGTCAGGAATACGGTGTATGGTCCGATCTTGCCGATTGCCGGAGGCGGAGTTGGCGGCGGAGGTGATGTTGGGTCGTTTGATTTCGCCATTTTCCGGCGAGGGAGGAGAGAGAATGAGAGAGTGAGGGTGTAGTGTGAAGAGGAAAGAGGGTAAGAGATGAACTTTACTTGGTTTTTTTGGTGGCTTTTTAACAAGTTTAAAAAAGAAAGTTATTGTAGATTTTGTAAGGTTGTACTTTAACTATAGACCATTAGACCACACCCAACTCAACCTAATTAGAAATCGATTTAAAAAATTTCTGATTTAGATTTTGACTCGTATGAAGACAATAATTTAATATGATTCTAATTTATAGATAGAACAAATCTAACCCGATTTTACCAAACACGACTCAGACATCTAAATTGACACCTCTACTAGTTGTAACTTGTAAAGAAAAGGGTAAAAAACTATGAAGTAGAAAGTACCAAAAAAATAAACAAAAGGGAGTAGTATTAGGAAACCCGTTACGAGGACATGCTTGGATTGAGAGTAATATATGTTAAGGAGGGTAGCTACAAACAAGGGGTTGGGTGAAATAGGGAGTGACATTAAGGGGTTTAATGAGCTAAATAACCCTGATAAAGATAATGATGACAGTGACTTTGGGTATTTAGTTGCTCCACCAACCAATAGGTATGACAAGGGACATAAGAAAACCATCGATAATGACAAAGCCCTCTTCTTTTATCCTGGTCAGAACTTTGAGAAGCAATCCACTTTTAAACAAGCTGTTTGGAATATGTCAATTGAACAAGGTAGAAACTTCACTTTTTTTTTTAGAATAATAAGATGAAGGTGGGAGCAGTTTGTGAACATTAGGACAAAAGGGTGTCCATGGAGAATATGGGCTTCATAGGATATAAACAGGAAAAAAAATCTGTGAAATCACAGTTCAGTGAGCATACATGTGGCATATCATGCAAGGTTAAAAAATGTCAGCAACTTGGATTGCAAATCAGTACAACACCCAGTTCAAATTAAGTGAATCGCTAAACATCGCCCGCAAATTACCATATAAAGCCCACAAATATGACTTGGTGTGACCATTATGCCCATTTTCTAAAATTGAAATAATCTCGATTTAAAAAATGTGGAGCCGTACTGGCTCGCCGGGGGAGACCGGAGGGCAGGCCGGAGATGCGGGGGACGCCGGAGGTACGTCGTCGTCGACGGAAAACGAGGTAAGTCACCGTTAAAATTCACGGTTTACCGTCGGAGTGGCTCCGGCGCCTAGGATGGACGCCCAAACCGTAGCCTGGACGTCCAAGCCAGACGCCAGAACCACCAGAGTGGCGTCCAGCCCAGACGCCCAGACCACCAGACTGGCGTCCTGGCCAGGCGCCACTCTACTGGCTGAGGCGGCCCTGCCAGGCGCCAGTGGCTGTGGCAGCCCTGGCAGACGCCACCCTTATAAATTATTTTTTTATTTTTTATTTTTTGATTTTGTTGTTGTTTTTTATTTATTTATTTTTTAAAAAAAAAATCGAAAATGATTTTTTAAAAAAATTCGAAATGGGTTTTTTTTAAATTAATTTTGAAATTCGAAATAGGTTTCTTTAAAATTAAGTTTGAAAATTCGTAATGGTATATTTTTAAATTTAGTTTGAAAATTCGAATTGGGTTTTTATAAAAATTAAGTTTGATTATACATAATTATGCTTTTTTTTTTGTGTTAATTCTGTGTAAATATAGAAATTAAATGTATTATCCGTTAAATGTATTTATTGTAATATATAATTGATGCAGGATTATGGTGGAGACGGAAATGATTACAGTGGGATATTTGGACATGATGGTCCATTCGAAGAAGCTCAACAGGCGATTGATTGGGCAAAACAGGTTGCAATTGCAGCTGGATTTTGCTTGGTAGTAGTAACTCATAAATCTCAACGGGATGGTAGAATGGATCGCATTTTGAGATGTGACCGTTATCGCAAAAGAGAAGAAAGAGATTTTCGTACAGCCACTCGGTTTGATACAAAGCGGAAAGGTTGTGGGTGTGAGTTCAGAGTAAAGGTTCGACAACTACGGAGTCGTGACGGTTGGGAAGTGATTGGTTACTCTAAATGGGGGTATCACAACCATGAGATGATAGTATATGAAGAGGTTCATCGACAGCTGAGCGGCTTAAGTCCTGCTGCGAAACTAGTTGTGAAAGAAATGAGTGATGCTCAAGTCAAGCCTGCTAAAATATTAGCATCTGTGTTAGAGAAATTTCCAGAAGACCATCCAAACCGAAGACACATCTACAACGTCAGACAGCAACTCAAGTTTGAACGGTCAGAGGGAAGGAACCCTATACAGCAGCTGCTACACCAGGCACAATCACGTGGTTACATGTTCTGGTTTGATTCTGATGAAGATACAGCGGAGGTGACTCATCTTTTCCTTGTGCATCCTGATTGTGCTGATATGATCAAGTCTTGGCCATTTGTGATTTTGATCGACTCAACGTACAAGACAAACAAGTACAATTTCCCACTGGTTGAGATCATGGGGATGACTCCAACGAACCAGAACTTTCTGAGTGGTCATGCAATCATCAAGGATGAGACGGCTCCAAGTTATTATTGGGTGTTGGAGAAGCTGAGAAACTACATCGGGCCTAATGTTCATCCAGCAGCCATCGTCAGCGACTGTGAGGGAGGTCTCTTTGCCCCCATAGCAGAGCTGTTTCCAAAATCGAACCACTTATTGTGCACATGGCACATCAACAACTGCGTGAAAGTGAAAGCCTACAACCTTTTCTACAAGAATTTGGAAATGGCAGAGAGATTGGTGAATGGTAAGTGGCGGAAGATCCTACAGGCTACCACAGAGGAAGCGTATGAGCGAGCATTGGCTAACTTCAGGGATTCGTACCAGTGGTGTCCGGCACTGGTGGACTATGTGATGCAGCAATGGGTCAAATATTGGACAAACCAGGTACTTCATTTTGGGAACACTACAACATGTAGAGTTGAGAGCGCTCATAGAGCTACCAAGGACTGGATTGATTCATCGACCGCTGCTTTGGATACACTGTTCGATAGACTTAACAAGTCAATTGAAACTCAGAAGAACGGCATCAGGAACTCTCTAGAGGACTCCAGACGACGACATGGTACGATGTATAGCCATTTTATATTTAAGATTCTCCATGGTCGTGTGTCGCACTACTGCTTGGGGTTGATTCTCACTTAGCTGAACAGGATGAGGGACTTGGCTGACGAAGTGTATGCTCGGTGTGGGTGTGCTATTTCAGTAACTCATGGATTACCTTGCGCATGCACCATTCACCGCGTTATTACAGAAGAAAGGGCGTCGTTACATGTTGATCAGGTCCATTCATTCTGGAGGACGCTTGTTATTGGTGAGCATGCAGACACTCAAACGGCCGACCGTGAACAGGAGGAGTTGGAGCAGTTTCGTTCGATGTACGACCGAGTGCCCTCCAGCCATCCTTCTATTATTCGTGACGCTACTCATGTACTTCATGACATGTTCCACACGTCTACCTTAGATTATGAGGAACCCGAAGAAGTTGACCGTCCTCGAGGTCGACAACGGCGGAACAGGAGTGCGTTTGAGTATATCCGTGGTCTTGGTCGTGGTCGTGGTCGTGGTCGGACATCGTCATCTAGTCGTAGTCAATCTTCATCGTCTGTGAATATGCCCCTGAGAACTGGTACGTTTTGGTTGTTTACATTGCACATAGTTTTAAAGTGTTACTCCTGCCTTCTTAACTGTCTATAATTATATGGTGAATAGGAAGAAACGATGTTGATCAGTTTCCGTACAAGGAAAGGATACCTGCGATCATCATGCCGTACTTGGAAGGGTGGAATGATGTAGTCGGAGATGGTAACTGCGGATTCCGGGTCGTGGCTGATGTTTTTCAAATGGGCGAAGACAACTACGGTTTGGTGCGTCAGTTGATGTACAGCGAAATTGCCTCTAACCGAAATGTTTATCGTCATGTGTACCAGGATGACTTGGAAATGTTTTTCCGGTGGGGAGGTGGACCTTGCGGCCAAAATCATTATTTTGACGCGCCCCTAGATCTGTTTGCCGTTGCAAACATTTACAAATGCGCAGTCATGCATTTCGGCCTGGGAGTGCATAGTCAAGCTTATTATCCTTGTACCACGGTTCTCCCTTGGCGTTCGCGTGAGACTGTCACCACACAGGTCAGAGAGCTAGCTATTGCGTTTCTTGGGTCGTCATACAGACATTTCATCCGACTAGACATGTCATCCGATTTTCCAGTGCCACCGATTATACCTCGGTGGTACAACATTCGCACAGCGAGCGTAGAGGGTTGGGATGCGCTATATCATGACCGGATCCACGAATGGAACACCCTAGCTGCATTTTAGTTTTTCATGTTTACATTCTTCCTATGTAATCTTATTTGTACGTTGCTCTTGTAATGAGAACATTAATCTTTTATATTGTATTGCTTACTGCATTCTATATGTTGCATGGGTAAGTTGCGCGGATCCACGAACGGTTATATCAAAATTTTAAAACAACAATGATAATATGTTTAAGTTGGAAGCTAAAAGAACAATCTAAAATGTTACAAACTTACAACATAATGTCCAATTTAATAAATTAAAACGATAATATTTAAAGTGCTCTATAAATAAAATGACAAAACCATCAGTAATCCCTCCTCGACGACGACTCCCACTGCGCAAGGGTCTGTTCCAGACTATCAACAACAGCTCTCCCTGTTGCACTCATGCTGTCCTTCTCAAGAGAGAGTTTCTGTACATCCTGCATTATCTTTCCCATCCACTGCATACAACAAAAAACAAAAGATTAAATACAATAACAACATATAAAACTTAATTAAAAGACAACGATAAATATAATATGAGACATACCGCTTCCATGGCAGTAGGCGGTGGCACATAATCATCATCGCTGTGGTCGAGATCTGCGATCAACCTCAGGTGCGAATACCGGTTGAACCATTCCATGTAGTAATGGTCACACATGGGAGGAACCCCAGAGGGCGGCCGCTGCAACTCCGCAGTCCATAAGCGGGCCACCATCGGAAACTGGTCCCACGTCCCGGTCATGATATCCGGCCATTGCACGACGTAGTCCCTCGACGATGCAGGTCGGACCGCCTTCATCGGGCATGCCGGGGGAGGAGGGACAA